TATTTGGTGAAAAAAAAATGGAAAATAAATTAAAACTATTCAAATCTCAGTGAGAAAATTATGTGGTTTATTTCTTCTTAAATTATCATCTACTTCTCCCAAATTGAACAGGTTATTGTATGTTTTAACTTGTCTAATTTTTTATGATATTGGTCATTTTTTTGTTATTATTTTCCTTATTAATTAATTCAGTTCATATTTCGGATGTAGCTGAACATGAGTTCATTTAAAGATGACCGCATTTGGATGTATAATAGACTTGAACACTTTATGTTTTTCCTTTTATTTGTTTGTTTGTTTGTTTTTTCAGGAAACTGCCACGAGGAGGAGGTGTTAGACGAGCGAGCCGTGAGAGTTCATCACAGGCACAACCACAAACACCTCTATCAGAGCAAGGGGAAGTGGGAGATTCACAATCAAGTGTTGCATCACAACAAAGAATCTCGAGCAACCGAATATTGCTGAAAGTGGATAGGGACGAGTAAATTTATTTAAATATTTGAAACATATATTATTGTGCAAGAATATTAATTATGGTTTATTGAATAGATGATCAAGGCACATCTTTGTACACAGGATGACCAATTGCTATTTCAGAATGTAAAAGAAGATATGTAAGTATTAATTTTGTACTTTATTCTCGATAATTGAATTATTTAATCTTCAATTAACTATTTGCTCGTTTCTTTAGGTTAAAGAGAAAGGGAGAGAGACTACTGCCACATAATTATTTTTGATGACTCATAAGACAAAAGGAAATAATGATTGGGTTGATCGTAAATCAAAGTTGTATCGGTATGATTCTAATTTTATATTTTATTTCAATCACATAATCTTTAATAGCTTCTGTTAAAACCTGTGTTACATTTAGAAGGACATGTGCTTAATATTCTTCTTTAGTTGCTTTAGGCCATTTATCGTATATAATGTGTTGATAATGCACTAATGACTAGCTTGAATATGCTCCTTTCAGGCATTGTGTTTTAGTGAAATATATCTGATTCTTCTAATTGAAATACATCTGATGTTGCTAATTTTCTATTACTCTATATTTTTTGGATTAATTTATCATCAATTTTATCGTATCAGGATAAATTTTTGACAATCATCAATCGAAGGCGTTAAGATAACAATGCCGATGGAGAAGGAAATGCTGATACAACAATAAACGACGACGAGGAAGAAGAATATGCTAATGGAGATGAGGCCTTCATGAAAATGGTGCATGCTATACCTAAAGAAGTTGTTGATAGTGATTGGCTTGAGGCAACTAGAGGACCAATTAAAGGAAGAGTTTACGGTTTCGGATCAGAGTCTGCTAATGTTATACATAATGGTAACTTTATACATGTTGATAGTCCAACTTTCTAAGAAGTTGCTAATCGATTGGTGGAGCAAAAGATTGCAGATAGGCGTGCATCTTTTGAAGAGCAACTACAAGCCGGTATCCAAGCTGTCATTCAGGCCGCTCACCAAAGTGAACCAAGAGGATCTACTAGAGTTTCAGGGTCATCAAAAATAGTTATGGGATAAGATTGAAATTAACATTTTTAGAAGATAGTTATTTTTTTCTAGAACCTGATGTTGCACATACTATTGATATTGTTTAGCTTAAAATATTTTTTGATAACTAGATTTAAGTTTTGCACTTTAGTATTGTATCAAATGTTTATTTTATGAGCATATTTTGATGTTTTATTTTTGGTAAATTGTATATCTGAGCAGGTTTAAATAATTTATTTCAATACTTTAAAATAATTTGGCTACAACTTTAGTAACGAATATTTCTAATAATGGTTGTGTAAAGTTACCTTTGGCGATGAAATTTGTGACGGATTTTATGTATTTTGTGATAGTATATTGCAATGAAGTTAGCTATAGATTTACGACGGAATATTTGCAACGTACGAAGCTACGGATTTGGCAACAACACATTTTCGACGCACTTAGCAACGTAATTAGCTACGGATGATAGAAACAGACAAATTCAACATTAGTGATGGATGTGTTCGTTGCTAATATAGCGACAGATGTTGGCGACGAACGATATTCATTTCTACCATAGCAACGATAATTAGCGATAACTTTAGCCACATCCATTAGCAACATACACGTTTCATATTAGCGACAGATTAGTCCGTGACAACCGTAGCGACGGAATGTAGCGACGATCACTATCTGTTGCCACGTGTAGCGACGGCATTTCATCAAGTCGCAGCTAAAATTTAGCGACGCGGCTTTTTTCTACGGAATTGGCAACGCACGACATCCGTCGGTAATCACGAGTTAGCGACGGATTTATAGTGTTTAGTGATGGATGGTGCCGTAGCTAATAGGCGATTTTCTAGTAGTGAAACCCCTGCGGTGTCAAATTTAGTGGAATCTTATAAATTATGTGGAATATTCTCTAATTCATACTTGTTTTATCCAATTCGAGCTCCACATTTTGAAACAAGATAATCTTAAGATTTGTCTATTGGCTTGTAAATATCAGATTGTGGTGCATCAGAAACTGCATTTTTGCACAAAACGAGTACAAATTAGAGAACATTCCACAAAATCTAGAACATTATGTTGAATTTGACACTATAAGGGTAGACGTATAAAAAAATTCATAGTTGAAGGGTGTATTTGTAATTACCCAAACATAAGAATTTTTTCGTAATTTAATATTAGCTCGGAGTTGGCCGTAATTTGCCTAATAAATGCTTTTAGAGCGAAACTTCAAAAAATTGCTAGGAAGAAGTATGTCAGTGTGTGTATAATTTTATAAAGTTCGAAATATATTAAGTTTTAGGGTAAATTACAACAACTCCTGAGGTAAGGTTAATTTACAAAAGAACCCTCTTGTTTGAATAATTACATCTACCCCTCAACTATGATTTTTTCTTACATCTTCACCCTTATGGTATCAAATTCAACATAATCATCTAGATTTTGTGGAATGTACCCTAGTTTGTACTCGTTTTGAGTAATAATACAGTTTCAAATGCACTACAATCTGATATATACAAGCAAAAAAAAAAACATATATTATGATCATCTTGCTTCAAAATGTGGAGTTCAAATAGAGGATAAAACGGGTACAAATGTGATAATATTCCATATAATCTCGAAGATTCCACTAAATTTGAAACCGCAAAGATGGACGTGTAAGAAAATTTATAGTTGAGGGTGATTGTAATTATCCAAACAGGAGGCGATTTTCGTAATTTGACCATAGCTCAGGAGTGGTTGTAATTTAACCTAAGTTTTAAATATGTTACTATTTAAAAGTCCGGGTCAAGTTCTGCCCAAAGTATAAATTTACTAGTTAGCATTATATGATGTTTTAGTATATTTTATATAATATAACAAATTGGTTTT